GGAATGCTCCCTTCAATCTTTCGGGCAACATTGGAAGTTCGAGTTCAAGCCTCATTAATGAAACTGGCAAGAGTTTCCCCATTTGCTGGTCACAGCGGTTATCAAAACCATACACAAGCCAATGTTCGTGACATTGGCCGGATGTACACGCCGCAAAGTCCTGCATGATGGAAAAGAAGCATCCCTGGCTCCCACCTCGTTTAACAATGCTCGTTTTCACACTGTTTTGTCTTAACGTTGTCATAGAAGACGCTCTCGTGACTAACCTCCCTGCAACGGATGGTTTACAGGTGCTCAGGGATGCACCTGTTCATCGATCGCTTCGTGATTGTGGTCTCGACGTAAAGCTTTTGCTTGCTGCTAGGCATGGTGGTTGTCCACATACATCCGCCGCCAATGCAGTATCTCGAGCCGAACTGTCCGACACAACGGCGACATATGTCTATCAGTTGCAAGCGAACTCCGTGTCCGGAGACACCTGGAGCAGATCTTTGACGCTGCTTGTCATAGAGAGTGTCTGCTGGGCCCTCAGTGTAATTTCTGACTTGATCAAGTCAGGCCACCTGTCTCGTGGACCAAGCCGTGGTTGACTTAAAAAGTCATAAATTAAGGAGACAAGCTTCACCCCGCAGCATCTGAGCGCCTGACGGATAAGGTGATGGGATGGGATACTGGAAAGAGTGGCTCTGTGTCTCTAGTCCATGGCGTCCGGTACTTCGTCGGCTTTCCTTTGGATGGTTTCAACGTCCGGTTGTTTGTCTCCCGACACCTTGGTCACGATGATGCTCCGCACGCTGTCCGTTTCTTATTCTCATTAGGGTCGCATTCCTGGAAGGTGCTGGAAATCACCCCCTACCCCTTTGCGGCCGGTATGACAATTATGGACAAGCCGACGGCATGGAAAAGAAGTGAGGCCTTCTCTCGTCCTACTGGTCCAGAAAGCTCCTGCGTTTTAAAAGCTGGAATTTTTAGTCATATCCTCCTCCGGGTTGAGCATTGCAGCACTGTGCGTGACATTTGTATTGTGTAAAACGTCGATGTGACGAGGTAAACTTTGCGTAGGTGACGCCAAGCAGTGACGTAAATCAGTGGCACATGTTCTCATTTCTCCTTGGAGGGTCGCAGGCCACGTCCACGTACCTTATCGTACAACAGGCCACCGCCATATACCATGATGCGAAAAAGCGAGTGGTCGTGCTCTTAGGGACGACAAGAACAGGAGTTAAGTTCGACAGTAGCGGATACGTTTGGCGCGGTGGTCACCTTCTGACTTTATGACGCGAAGTTTTCTGGGTGCTGCGTTACCAGCGTCGAAGTTGCCGATGCTTTCAGATTTTCGACACGTGCCGTAACGTCTCTGCGTCCACGACGGGATACCAGGAGATTCTTTCATGCCCGTAGCTGTCACTGCCGCCGCGGCGCTTTACTACTATTGTGTGGATGATGCTGCCACAGCTAGCAACCGCTCCTATCGATCTTCGGGGTGACCAGGACGATTTGCCCGCTGCAAAAGACGTTAGCTGTGTTGCTACTACAATACACGTTTGACACCACGCGTCTTTGCACCTACTTCATGTTTTGAGAGTATGGTGAAGTCAGAAACGGCAAGGTATCTAAATTGCACCGGAATCGACGTCGAGCGTGTTTTGGGACAGCATTCGAGGAGGTTCAAAAATAAAGGGGTAAACAAAATTAAACAGACTTTTATCCCGCCCGATTAACCAGGCGGGCACGTGCGTCGGCCATCGCACCTGCTGTATCCTTCCAAAACGACAATGGGTGTAACATAGCTCCCGCCTCACCTTAGCATTGTTGGACTTCCTCCGACTTCATACCTCGATGGAGCATTCGAGTAAGGGTCATTGAAGAAAACAGGACGAGGACCGTAACATGTCCCCCTCGACCTAAATGTCTCGATGGCCGGGATGGGCGTGGGATACCCTTTTGGGAAACCAGTCAACAATGGTAATGCTGAACATGCCGATAGACTGAAATGCACACAATGGACCGACAAAAGGACCGGAACCAATTTGACAAGCCGTGGATATGGAGGCAAAATCTGGGGTAGGAAGGATCGACAGGTGCAGAACATTCGCGTATGTGGAGTAAGATGTAATACGTCGTAAGTCGTCTATATTGTCAACTCTGAAATATGGAGATGCAGTAGTAAATGTGAGATGCCTTGCTCTCCGCAGATCGCCAGTTCAAGTCCGCCCCTCCTCGTGCGCCGCAAACTCAGTGCGGTATGTCCGTTTTGGTGCACTCGGCCATTCGCACCAGACAACCGAAATGTAGGTGAGAGGCCAGCATCGCTACATTGGCACGTACTTGCCTGCCGTAAGGTGTTACAAATACGTCACCATTGTACGTTTACGAGTGTCTCCACAGCCCGTTTTGTTTCCCTTCTATCCCCGGCTTTGCGGACAAGCTGTCTCGGAGGGTGCTAATTCAATTCGGTGAGCTTCCTGTTTGGGCAAACCGGAGGAGATCCCTGCCAAAAAGAGACGGTAGAAAAAGAGAATACACGAGGAGGATGTCAGACGTTAGTCTGGGGCAATTGGTGGGGATGGGCTCCGGGGTCAATGGGGCAGGTGAGTGGAGGATGGGGAAACGTAATTGTGTTCGGTAGAAGCACTTGCGCTGCATCCCGCTAAAAAGACTCCAAATCGGCACCAAACAGGCGCGTTCCGGCGTTTGCCAGCGTTCTCAAGCCACCGAGCCTAAGACCTGAAAGCGTCCGGGCCTTCCCATATGCGTATGAGATCGCAAGTGCTTTTACGTTGACTCCTTGCCGCAGAGAAGACGAACAGCCAACCTAGAACGCACCATACAATTGCCAATGAGCCCCAGCACTCCACGTACTATGGGGTCTAGAACAAATTTAAAAGGATGTGCAATCCCGCAGAGTTTGCTCCGCGAGAACCCTGCCCCGTCGCACTCCCGGATGCGCTGCGGCATGCTCATCAACAGCCAAGGCTAATGTCTGCGAATCTCTGCCGGCGGAGCAATCTTGCACCAAATTCACCGTTGTAAGTAACCTGGCCAATCATAAGCGGCAGCATCAAACTGCGCACTTTCCCTAGCCAACTACAGACCGGCGACGGCCCTCCCTTTATGTAGACTTGCCCTTTTTACAACTGCACCAAAGGCGAAACGCGTCGCAGAGGTCCATATCTGTGTCGGAGAAAAGTTCTTCGATATGGAAAGCAACGCAAGTTACGTGACACGGCGGTAAGACGGAGACATGCAGCTAACTACATGGATCGTGCCACATATTCAATGATGGTCGTGGCCGGTTACGGTTCTAGCCCTACTGCCTGCCGTCCAATAAATATTGTGCCGTTTTATGTCCCTCGACAAATTCCGAAGACGACGAGACTACCGCCAGGAGAAATATGCGAAGGGTCGGGATTTCGTTTGGACAAGTTGGCTGAACATGTGTGACTGCTCTGACAGCGTCCGAGTGAGCATGGCAACGCAGTCTACCTCCGTAGCATCTTTCTAACACGCCTGGTTATGTTGTGGCCAAAAGATTGCCGACAAACAATACCCTCTCTGCTCCACCAGGAGAACATATATGCATGGAATTTTGCGTGTTCTTGACCGAGGACCCTAAAAAACCGTTTTTCCCACGTCGTGTAGCGATAAATAACTTATCTACCGGAATATTCCTTGTACCATGAGTGCCCAGGCAGCTACTAGTACTGGGCCCTGTGTCTCGTGGAGAATATGGGCCCGTTGCCCACAGCGGTTCACCGTCTACCGTCCTCCGAGGCAGCATGCCCCGTCACAATGTACCCCGTATCCCTTTGTACCTCAAAATCAATGGGACATACTCATTTCTCGATTGGTAGAGCTTCAGTTCGACCTCTTTGCTATGGTGACCGCGCCCTCGAATTCTTTGACGAGGCATCAAGCTCATGCGAAGCATTGCTGTCTTCAGATATATTTAGTGGTAAATGTTCATGCACTAGGGATTGACGTGGTCGGGTGTAAGGTTCTCCTACAAAAGAAGTAAAACAAACCATCCCTAGGTGAAATACTGATCATCGTAATGTCACATGGTCCTTCACATTCACTTTTCAACCTCACCGGTCGTTCCTACTCTACTTAGCAGCGAGCACGTGATTTTCGGATTACCGTTTTTGGCAATCCGGCTTACACAACCACCAAGAAGTCGACGCCTGCAACTAGTCTTTTGGTACACAATACTGTTCGCCGCCTCAGATGTACTTGTTCCTGGTCACTCCGCGTCCGGCCAGCACTAGGATTGTCATTCGGCGACGAACAGGAGGCGAGTACCAAAATATGGAACAAATTACATGTCGAATAAACAATTTCACGGCGATTGTTTTTTTATTTTTTTTTTAAAAAAAAAAAAAAAAGACAACGGATATGACCCAGAGAAATTAAAATCCTCACTGAAATACCCAAAAATGCGGAGCCAGGTTGCCACTCCGCTCCGCATTTCTTACGCACTTGACGTCAGTTGTGGCCAAGATGGGGAAAAAACATGGAGCAGGGGCCAATCCCCAGTTTTAATTGTGATTGTCACGTCTTGATGGGCGTCTTTGTGGCCGCTACCGCACTGTCACTGTCGTTCATTTGCAAGAGTGTTTCCTATTCTGGCATGTATTCATGTTATTTCGTGGTACCCAATTTTGCTCTGAATTTTCCCTGGACGGGCCCATGCCGAGCGGATCGGCATTCGGGAGACAAACACGAGGTGATGGAGCGCGGCGCGAGACTGAAGCCGATCGAAGAGTATTTAACATTCACTATTTCCCACGTCGGATCCCGCAACGTGGCAATTTTCTTTTTTTTTTTACGTTTATGTTGTTTTATTATTTTTTTTCTGGGCTTGAAAAGAACTGCAACGCCCACGTCCGCACGTCTGCATATCAACAGTTGCAACCGGTCAACACAATCGACACAGCGCAGCGACAAAGCAGTTGCTTTTGACACAGACGCGTACATACATCCTAGCCGACGGCGACACAATGGCGAAAAAGTTCCTCGGCCTTCGGGGCAACGCCCTCAACTGGGCGGTCAGCACTGTCGCCGGTTGCGACTTCCTCCTCTTTGGTTATGGTGGGTTCCTTCACCGCGACATGGCTCCACATACACGCCACATACCACAAGCCACAAGTTGCACTGACACACTGCGTCGCTTTACAGATCAAGGCGTCATGGGCGGCATCTTGACGCTCAGTATCTTCTTGGAACAGTTCCCCATAATCAACCCTGACTCGGTTGGCGGCGCAGAGTCGTCGCGGCGGTCGACTTATCAGGGCATTGCCGTGGCGTCGTACAATCTTGGCTGCTTCCTGGGCTCTGTCGTTACCATCTTCATCAGTAACCCTCTTGGCCGCAAGCGCATGATTATGCTCGGTACTTCCATCATGGTCGTCGGTGCTGCGCTGCAGTCGTCGGCTTTTTCGATTGAACACTTTATCATTGGTCGCATCATCACGGGCTTCGGAAACGGCTTTAACACATCGACGGTCCCGACATGGCAATCTGAAATCTCACGTTCACACAAGCGCGGCAAGCTGGTCATGGTCGAGGGCGCTCTCATCACGTTCGGCATCATGATCAGCTACTGGATAGATCTGGGCCTGTCGTTTGCGCCCGGGTCCGTGGCCTGGCGGTTCCCGCTGGCGTTCCAGATTGTCTTCTGCATTTTCATTCTAATATTCATTCCTTTCCTGCCCGAGTCGCCCCGGTGGCTGATTCTCAAGGGCCGTGAGGACGAAGCGCTGGAGGTTCTCGCCGCCCTCAACGACAAGGATGTTAACGACCACGCGGTGCACAACGAATTTGCTGAAATCAAGGACACCGTACTGGAAATGTCCAAGGGCACCTTTGCCTCACTCTTCGACTACAAGGGCCGCGACCGCAACCTGCACCGCACGATCCTCGCCTACACCAACCAGGTTTTCCAGCAAATCAGCGGCATCAACCTCATAACGTATTATGCGGCTGTCATCTACTCAAAGCTGGGAATGTCTCCGTTCATGTCACGGCTTCTGGCTGCACTGTAAGTATTTGTCGCCGAAGAAAAGGAACGATTTAAAAACTCCCAATAGCTTCACTTCGCTGACACCCTAAGAAACGGCACGGAATACGCCATCGCATCGTGGCCTGCTTACTTCCTTGTTGAACGCGTTGGTCGTCGCAAGCTGATGCTGTTCGGCGCGGCTGGTCAGGCGATCACGATGGCGATCCTGGCGGGCGTCAACGCACACACGGAAGGCAACAAGGGCGCCCAAATCACAGCCATTGTGTTTTTGTTTGTCTTTAACACATTCTTTGCCGTTGGCTGGCTCGGCATGACGTGGCTGTACCCAGCCGAGATCACCTCCCTCCAGACACGCGCACCCGCCAATGCCCTCTCGACGTCTGCCAACTGGATTTTCAACTTCATGGTGGTCATGATCACACCCGTGTCGTTCAACAACATCGGCTACCAGACGTACATTATCTTTGCCGTCATCAACGCATTCATGTTCCCGTGCGTGTACTTCTTCTACCCGGAGACGGCGTACCGGTCGCTTGAGGAGATGGACAACATCTTCCACAAAGTCACCGGCTGGCGCGGTGTGTTCACGGTCGTCAAGGTGGCGCGCGAGGAGCCCCGCCGGTACGACAAGAACGGCCAGGCTCTCATCGACTATGAGCAGACCGCCGAGCACTTGGAGCACCTCGGCCAGCAGCGTCCAGGTCAAAGTGAGCAACCGACGTGGGGCGGCAGCGGGAGCGGCAACGGGAGCGAGGAGAAGCCGAGCGACAATCAGCAGTAAATGCTGCTAGAGACGGGAAGTGCCACTGGCAGGAGAATCCGTTTGTCAACAAAAAGAAAGGGAAGGCGCGAGCACACTTCCTTCCACATTCATTCACATAGATTATTCAGCATGCACATAGGTTGAAATGGGCAGGAGCCCCGGCAAAGACGGGACGCGCCTGCCCCCAAACGACCAAAGACATTTTTGCTGTACTCAAATTCATACCCTCGTACTTTGTACATTTAATCGTTTGTGCAATGTTTCGCAAAATGGGCCACATCGTCTTTGGGTCCTCCTGCCCCTTACTCCACCGACTTCCATCTCGTCTCGAGCTGCGCAACGACCAAAATCTTGTTGCCACCGAGCTGGGAGGACATTTGGTTGGCCTCGACATTGTAGCGCGCACCGATGAGCTGCTGCATGTTGTCGTAGCCGTAGCCAACGCCGGCTTGTCCGTACGTGTGATCGTGGTGGTTGCTGGTAACGGATTGCAGGTTGCCCCCGGCGGTGTAGGCGACGCTCTGCAGGCGGGTCATGGCGATGTTGTTGGCCAGGAAGGCTTCCTGCGTTACAATGTTGCGGCAGATGGGCATGGTCTCCCAATACACGAGACGGCGCTGGGCCGAGTACGCCAAAAGGGCGGCCGGGTTGGGCGGTTTCTGAGCACAGGCTTCGGTGTAGAGGCCGCGCATGCGGGGGCTATACATTTCGCAGATGCAGGCCTCGGCAATGATTTGCGGTGTGTGCATAGGCATGGCGGCCGGTGTGTCGAGGGCGGTGCCCTTGACGAATTCGAGGTAGCACTCGGCACAAATGGTGCAGTCGGGCCAGCCGTACCAGCCGCGGTTAGTGTAGTCGACGTCGCGGCAGCACGGCGGGACCTGACCGTAGCGCTGGTTGAATGTGTCCATCGATGCGCAGTCCTGTGTGAACCAGGTCTCCAAGAGCTTGTCGACTTGGGCGCCGAAGCGTGGGGCCTTGACGTTCAGCGAGCAGACGACGGCCGTGTCCGGAGCCGGGCGGTGGATCAGAGGCACAAAGAAATGGGCAACATTGAGAGACTCCAGGATGCCGGCATAGCAGGCGCCGCAGACTTGGAAACCGGCGGGCTGGGAGGGCAGAGTGAACCACTTGCCGTCCTTGATGCCCGCGGCGGCGCAGGTCTTTTCCTCGTAGGCCATCTTGTTGAGGGAGCGCCAAAACAGCGGCCACGCCTTGTTCTCCTCGGCAGCGGAAAATGCCATGAGAATGTGGAACTGGCCGGCAATGCAGTCGCTCGTGTACTTTTTCGAGAAGATGGGGTCGTGCGGCATGTTCTCCCACAGCGGTTCCTGGCCGGTCTTCAAAACGCGGTCGCAGTAGCAGGCGGCGCAGAGCACAGCATCGGTTGGGCCCTGGCCTTGCACGGGGGTGAACCACTTTCGCAAGCTGATCATGGCCTGGGTGCTCTTGGGGCAAGCGAGCATGCCGAGTCGAGCTTTGGCTTCATTGCAAAACGTGGGCCAGTCATTACTCTTGCTGCGCTCGTCAAATTCTTTACGGATAAAGGGCACGGCAAAGTCGCACGCCCAGACTTCAGCGGCGTTGTCGTGTGGCGGGGACAGCTCAAAGTTGTAGGCGAAGGGACTGATGCAGGCGGCATCCAGGAAACAGGCCTCGCAGATGACTAGACCCGGAATGGCATCGTGCTTGGCGCGGAACCATTTCAGGCCCTGGCCTCCTTTAGCACCGTCCAGCTTCTTGCAGTCGGGGATGGTGAGACGCTGGTTCATAAAGTCGATGAGGCCCTGCAGACTACCCGTAGCCTGTGCGTCGGGCAGGATCTGGTCGGTGATGCGGTCGACCTTGAAGCGGCAGCGGCGGCGGACGCCGTCGCGGTAGTAGCGTGCGCCAAAGTGGTTCTGGAACTGGGTGGGGTAGAGGTAGTCCATGTAGCACTTGCTGCAGATAAAGGCCTCTGGGGCGTTGGGATGGGTGTACCACCAGGTATTGAACGCCATGGGGGTATCGATGCAACTGATGACAGGCTTGAACGGCGGATCGACCTCGACATGGCGGGGCGCTTCCAGGACGGGGGCAGCGGCGGGTTCTGGGGCGGGCGTGGCGGTGGCGGGTGTGGTAGCATGGACTGGGGCTGTCGTTGCAACCGTGGACTCGGGGTAGTTGGTATGGGCATATTGCGGGTCGGGGTAAGCTCGGTCGTGAGATTCGGGTTGAGGCAGAGGTGCAGCAGCAGGTTGCTCAACAGGCTGGGTAGGCGGGTGAGGAGACGACGGTGGTAGTCGGACCTGCTGAGGAGTATACGTTTGTGCTTGCTCCTGTAGAGCAGGGTCGGATTGGGTCGGTTGAGGGTGAGAGGCAGCATGGACTTGCTCCTTAGTCGCTGCCGGTGCTGGTTGTGCATGTGCCAGCTGCGGTGGCCCTTGGGATGGCGCTGGCTGTGGCGAGTGGGCAGGAGGGACAGTGTGAGGTGTCTCGAGCGACTCAGTAGTAGATGCCGGCAACACAGCCGGCTCGGATGGTGGTGCTGATGTTGTTTCCTCAGACGCTATATTCATAGATTGCAGCATTGCGTTCATCTGCTGCACGGGGTCGTTGGCGTGGCCAGAATTCGCGGGTGCTGCAGTGGGGCCGGTCGCAAGGGGAGATGCAGCCGTCTCTTGGGGCGAAACAGTGGGAGCCGAATGGCTCGCAGGAGAAGGGTAGGCTTGCTGGGCATCGTAGTAGCTGTAGTGTGTGCCATACTGCTGGGAGTGGCCGTCAGGAGGGACAGCTTGGGGAGGAAACGGCGGCGGAGGAGGAACAGAGGCAGGGACAGCAGCAGGCTCTGTCGTCTGCTGCTTGTCAGCAGAAACAAAGGTTTGGCCTTGAACAGAAGATGTGTATTGCGGCGGAAGCGGTGTCGGCTGAGCAGCATGAGGATCGTAGGCCGGCTGGGCAGCAGGAGGAGGAGGAAGGGGGCCGTAGCCAGTGGCAGCGGCGCTGGGGTCAACGGCTTGTACTGGCTGTTGCTGCTGCTGGGGTGGCAGAGGTGGTGGCGGCGGATAGTAGACTTCCTGGTGGGCGACAGTTGGCTGTCCGCCGGACGCAGCGGAGGGCGAGGCCGCAGGACTGGCAGCGGCAGGCGGAGCCGGGTAGGCCTGTTGGGCAAAGGCCTGCTGGTTGTACGCGTATGAGCCGGGTGCAGGCGCGGCAAAGGGAGCAGGAGAGCTGTAGGGCGGCTGCTGCTGGTACTGCTGCTGCTGGTGTTGCTGCAGTTGAGGAGAGGCCTGCGGTCGAGGAGGGAGGACAGGAGGACGGTTCGGACTGCGGGGCGGTGGGGGGAAGCTCATGTAGGTTTGGGCGAGAAAGGGACCGGCACCTCCAGGCGGTCGAGGCGGAAGTATCGGAGCATGCTCGCCGGTGCCTGGTGCAAGGTGGTTCGGATTGGGTGGTGCATATTGCTGTTGTTGCTGAGGATAAGGTTGGCCATGGTAAGGATGTGGCGTCTGGTAGGTCGGCTGTTGGTATGGTGCCTGGCCCTGGACATGCCCCTGAACCGGTACCTGTGGCGCTGGTTGTGGCGCTGCGGTTGTACCCGGTGGCGGGGTTGGCTGCTGCTGTTGCTGTTGTGCCTGGCCTGGCACCGGCCGGCGCTGGACCGGGTTGTTTTGGTATGGAGGGTAGTTGGACATCGCGAACACCGTTGTTTGGACCAGCAGTTGGAAGGAGGAGAGGAGCGCACTCTTCCTGTAGATGGATGGCGAGGGCCAGACACCGATATATGGGAGTGGTCCAAACGGTCTAGGCTTTGGGCCTGACCTTATTTGTGCGTCTGGTGCCACCCAAGCGCGATAGCGATAGCGGAATGCGCTGAAGGACTCGTCGGCAGCGAACTAAGGCAGCCGTGCCCACTAGCCTCTTACTGGTCTACAGCACAGGCGGCCCCACTCCACGAGGCAGACTGCGGAATACGTGCGCTGCACCTGCAGAACTGTGTCGTAATTACAACGTGCATTGCAACCTTTTATTAGTCTGCTGTGCCTGCCCATACGAGAGACCAGTGCATCAGCACCCGCCAACAACGACCCAAGCAACCACCCACGACTGCGACCCTCCTGTTCCTCGACGGTCCTCCCTCCCTTTGTCGCTCGTTAAAGTTTCGATGTCCGTGCCGCTTCCAGCCGCGCCGGCAGATTCCGCCGCAGTAGCTTGCCCGTGGCGTTGCGTGGCATCGTCGCCAAAAAGAACAGACCACCGCGCAGCTTCTTGTGGTGGGCGACTTGGCCGTCGACAGAGGCACGGACGTCGTCGAGCACGCTGGCACGACGCCCGTCTGCGACGGACGACACCAGGTTGACATAGCCCACGGGCACCTCGGTCTGCTGCACGGCGTCCCAGGCGGCGCAGACACCAGCTTCCTGCACGAGCGGGTGGGCATGCAGCAGGTTCTCGAGTTCGGCGGGCGACACCTGGTGGCCCTTGTACTTGATCATGTCCTTTTTGCGGTCGGTCAGCCAGAGGAAGCCGCCGTCGTCCATGTGGCCGACATCGCCTGTGCGCAGGAAAGCGGTGTTGTCTGCGTTGCCACCAGACGGAGAGTATGGGAACGCGTCTGCCGTGCCTGCCTTGTCGTTCTTGTAGCCCATGAAGACGGTCGGCGACGAAATGACAATCTCGCCTGTGTCGCCCGGCTGCACGTCCTGCAGGTGATCATCGACAATCCGCAGCTGTCCGCCCGACACTGGCCGGCCGACGCTGCCCTGCTTGCGCGCCGCGGCAAAGCGGTTGACAATCGTGGCCAGGCCCTCGGTCATGCCATACGCCTGGACGATGGCGACGCTCTCTCCCAGGAGGGAGTGGACGGCACCAATCATCTCCGGCGCCAGCATCGCACCGGCACAGACGATGGAGGTGACGCTGGAGAGATCCAACGCGTCCTTGTGGCCCCCCGCCTGCTGCTGCTGCAGCAGCTTCACCATGGCCACGAGCGTCGGCGGCACCATGCGCAGCGTCGTGGCCCGGGCGTCGGCACACGCGGCGAGATAGGCCGGTAGGCTGTACGACCGCATCAGGCGCACATAGCCGCCTGTGAAGACGGGCATCGTCGTCGCCACGAACACGCCGTAGATGTGCGCGAGAGGTGCGTAGAATACGTCGCGCTGGCTGTGGTTGGCCGTCGTGGGTTCACTGGCGCGGTACAACAGCGGGTAGGCGAGCACGTTGTGGTGGCTGAGGACGGCGGCTTTTGGGCGGCCGCTCGTCGTGCCGGAACTGAAGCAGATGAGAGCAGGCTCCGTGTGGTTGTCGATGGATGACAGGTCGAGGGGCGCCTGCACTGGGTCGGCATCTGTGTCCTTGATGCAATCGGCTGGAAATGCCAGTTTGGCCGTGCCGCGTGTGCCGATGCCGATAATTTGTGTACGTGGCTGGGTCGACTGCGCAAGGGCTGCAGCCATGTTCTCCATCAACGGGCCCGGGTCGCAAAAGATGGCTGCCGGCTGGGCCGTGTCGATGAGGTGCACCAGGTCGCTGGTCGTCGCCGATGCGTTTCCGAGGCTGTCGCCCGTCAGTACAAGTATACAAGTCATGTCTACAGTCTCTTTGTTCCTCCGCACGCCATGGACTCACGCAGCCACCACGCCGCTCCAAAGAGCAGCATATTCAATGTGCAGGTAGTCCAGCGTGTTGGTGCCGACAACGAGTATGGTGTCGCCGCGTTTCAGGCCGATCACCTCTCGCAATCCGTCTGCGCCCAAGCCAGCCAGCCGCGGCGCCGAGCCATACGTAAACAGCTTGCCGGGCCGCTCATGTTCTTGGAGGATGACGGTGTCGTCCGGCGTGTCGTCGACATTGAGCCGCAGCTGCACTGCCAAAACGACTCGTTGCGGGGGACCGCCGACGGCGCAAACGTAGATTTGTAGAGCATGATGAGCAAGAGCGGCGGGGTGTAGTTATGGTAGTAGACAGTCACGACTCGCGTTCTCGCTGACTCGTGCGCCAAGCCCTCATTTTGTATTCGTTTTCGTCGAGGGCCGCATCAAGGATGCCGTGGTGAAAACCCTCCCATCGGTCAAGCGCGTGATCTCCATTCGTTTTCGCCGTATATGTCTGTGCCCGTCTCCACTGCGTTTGGACGTTTTGCAGTACGGCCGCGTGGGCCGCAAGTGGCTCAAAACTGTCAGCAGTAGCAGGCGCCTGTACAACGTAATAGAAGCCCCTCTAAAAGTGGTTCGTAGCAGACTAATTGTAATTGACTGAACACAGCAGTGTATTGCCCGAGGCGAAAATGTGTACATGAATATTCTCATTCTTCGTATTGGCTTGATCTTTATTTTGTTTAGTTTACTCGTCTTCCTTTTCTGTATCACAATCGCCAGCTTCGAGTTCCCCACAGCCAAGATCCTCAGACGAGTCAGCGTGTTTGCGGATGCGAGTCGGCGAGTCAACACTGCTAAGACGACTGCGCACGCTTGTTATGTCCCATATTTTATTTAAATAAGACGAGACCGAACCAAAATACCGACGGCGGGTAGACTACTACTGTGACCTATGGCTCCATGTCACAACAGCAACGCACGCACACACGCACTTAATGTCGGATCCATCCCTCAACGTGGGCCCCTTTGCTGAGCCTGCCTGGCTCACGACGCTCGCTTCGCCCTTCTACAATGAGAGCCACCGCCGGTACCAAAAGGCAGTCCGCTCGTACCTCGAGGAAAATGTGATGCCGTATGTCGACGAGTGGGAGGAGAACGGTCAGGTGCCGGATGAGGCGCGGCTCCAGTTTACGCGGTCAGGCATGGCGTTTGTGGACATGCCCGCGGAATACTCGCACGGCATCCAGCTGCCCGGGGGCGTCACACACGAGGAGTGGGACATTTTCCATTTCATGATCAAACACTACGAGGTCAACCGCATCTGCTCGGGCGGTGTGATTGGCGGCATCGGCGGATCGCTGGCCATTGGCGTGCCGCCCATTGTCAACTTCGGCACGCAGAAGCAAAAGGCCTGTGGCTGCCGGGCATCGTAACGGGCGAGACCTCTTTCTGTCTGGGCGCCACCGAGCCGACAGGTGGCAGCGACCTGGCCAACCTCCGGACGACGGCGAAAAAGACGGCCGACGGCACGTCGTACGTGGTCAACGGGCACAAGAAGTGGATCTCGGGCGGCATGTCGGCGACGCACATGACGACGGCCGTGCGGACAGGTGGTGCCGGCTCCAAGGGCGTGTCCGTGCTGGTCATTCCGCTGAGCAGCCCCGGCGTGTCGCGGCGCAAGATCCGCAACACCGGCTTCCATGCGGGCGAGTCCACCTGGGTCACCCTCGAGGACGTCGTCGTGCCCGTGGACCACTTGCTCGGCGAGGAGAACAACGGCTTCCCCACGCTCATGACCAACTTCAACAAGGAACGCCTCATCATGGCGGTCGGCATGAACAGCATGGCGCGCGCGTGCCTCGAGGACGCGTGGGCGTATGCGCTGGACCGGCACACGTTTGGCAAGCCGCTGTTCAGCCACCAAATCATCCGGCATAAGCTGGCGACGCTGGCGCGGTACATTGAGTCGCACTGGGCGTGGCTGGAGCAGATTGCGTACCACGCCAAGGCCACAGGGGACGTGGGCGACGAGCTGGCGAGCCGTCTGGCGCTGGCCAAGGTACACGGCGGGCGCATTCTGGAGCTGGCGAACCGGGAGGCGCAGCAGATCTTTGGCGGTGCGGGCTACCAGCGCGGCGGCGTGGGAGCGCGCGTGGAGCGCGTGGGCCGGGATCTGCTGGTGAGTGTGGTGGGCGGCGGCAGCGAGGAGATTATCACGGACCTGGCGATCCGGCAAGAGATGTCGCAGGCGAAGAAGCGGGGCGCAAAACTGTAGCCCTGCGTAGCTGGCAGCTGGGATGGCAGTTCACAGAGTTGTGTAGACGGAGTTGTAAATAGCAGAATGTACATACAAGATACAAAGTCATGATGGTCGAATTGTTGCATGTAATGTTGGCTGTCTATGAAATATACAGAAAGAAGAACAAACGAGCTTTGTACAAAAGGAATCGTCCCTGTTAAACCAATTGCACCTCACCCCCCTTCCCTCCTACAACTTCGACGGCACCCACTTGGGCTGCTCCTTGCGGGCAAAGGCAGCGGTGCCAATTTTCATGTTCTCGCCGTCCATAAGCGCCTTGCCGTAGCGCTCCTCGGTGATCTGCGCCGCGCGTTCCACGCTGCCCGTCTCCCACGCCTGGCGCAGCCCTGCGCGCGTTACGATCAGTGCGTCTGGCGACTGCTGGCCCACGGCCTTGGCCAGGGCGACGGCCTCGTCGATGAGCGACGCCTGCGTCTTGGACACGCGGCAGAAGCCCAGGCGCTCGAGCTCCTGTGCGGTCATGATGCGGCCGGCCAGCGCAATCTCGCCAGCGAGCTGCATGCCGAAGTTGCGGACTGCGTGGGCCAGGCCGCCAGCGGCGGCGTACAGGCCGCGGCTGGCCTCGGGCAGGCTGAACTTGGCCGTGGGCGACGCCAGGACCATGTCGCAGTTGAGGGCCAGCTCGAAGCCGCCACCGTAGGCATAGCCGTTGACGGCGCCAATGACGGGCTTTTTGCCGAGGCGGCGCGCGAAGCCCAAGAACGATCCCGGGGGCAGGGCCACGGGCGCGGTGCCCTTGCCGCGGGTCTTGTTGACCTCCTTGAGGTCGGCGCCGGCCGAGAACGAGCGTGTGCCGGCGCCCGTCAGAATGGCCACGCGCAGCTCGGGCTCCTCGTCGAACCAGGTCCAGACGGCGTCGCCCTCCCAGTGGCCGGCCATCGTGATGGAGTTCATGGCCTTTTCACGGTTGATGGTGACGAGCAAGACATAGGGCGCAGGGAAGGTGAGCTTTAGGTTGGTCGTCTCGGGCGGCGGCGTCTGGAAGGTGGCGTACGGAGACGACATGGTGGCGGTGGGCGAGGCGTGTCAAGACGTAAGTGAGAATGAGCTGAGAAGCTGGTTGTTGCGACAGGTGTGATGTCCGCTGAAGGAAGAAAGTAAAAAAAAAAAAAAAAAACGAGACAGGCGAATAAAACGACAAATTCAAAAGCCGAGATGGCAACGGAACGGCAGCAGACGAAAAGAATGTCGACTTTCCAAGGAGCCCCGGCTCAACGATCAATTGCGTCTTGCCTTTCCAAAGCTCTGACCTGGCGCCGGCCACTCTCTTGTCTCTCAAAGTCCTCTTGTCTCTCAAAGTCCTCTTGTCTCTCAGACTCCTCTCGTCTCCGGGCCGAGTCGCCCCAATGACTCGCTCCAATCCTATGCGGGGGTCTTTGGTGTGTTCCGGCGTACCAGGTTCCCACTTGGGAGGTCTCCAGTGCATGTAGGATCAATTCCCACTCCCCCTCTCCTTGTCGCTAATGCTTAGGCTATCAACTCGCGACGCTCTGCTTTCCTTTCTGAGTAGGCAAGCTCGCAAGGTGGAGAAGACGAGCTTCACACTACTCCGTAGGGTGGTGGAGAACATGACGAAAGGGCCTAATGTCTCTTGTTTCTAACCAAGAGGAAATGCCCTGAAGCCACTAACACCCGCTGTATCTACTTACAAAGTTACCACGACGCAATCACTGATGCATATGGAATCCGTTGAAATCAAATTAAGATCAGATAAACGTCACGTTCATAATCAAATCGAGGACAAATCACAAATACATCAATTTAATGACATTATATACAATTAGACAGTTTATATACACATCAGGCTTCGTCGCTACAACTTGGACGGCGTCGCAATAAAGAAAGCATTTTTGCCGTCCTTGGTCTGCCTCGCAGTGCCGCGCGTCCCAATCGGCTCGACGGCCAGGTCGACCATGTACTGCAGCGTGGCAGCATCGCCGTTGTTGGCCACGAACCGGTGGCCCGTCTGGTCGACCCGTGCGACAATGTGCGCCACCGTGGGATGGCCGCTGCGGTCGTAGGCGACCGTGTACGTCTCAATCGTGGCCGGTCCGGCTGCTGACGCGTCGACAACCGGCGCCGACGGGATGGCCATGTGGTGCGGCAGCGGGTTGCAGCGCGGGTAGACGTCGATCTCGGGCGACCGCGGCTGCGACGACAGCAGCAGGCCGTAGTGGTGCGAGAGGACGCCGCCGTTGGCCAGCACGAACCCCGTGCGGTACTGCTTCGCGCGGATGTCGCGGGCCATGGCCACCATGGCGTGCATCGAGTAGTTGTTGCCGGCGCCGCCAAACGACGTGAGGCCGCCCAGCAGCGAAATGGGCTTCTGGGGCCGCGTGATCGACAGGCCCAGATGGCGGCAGGCCAGCTTGGGCACGATGGGGAAGCACGAGTAGAAGTCGTAGGCGTCAATCGCATCCTTGCTGCCGAGGCCTGACACGCCAATGGTGGCGTCAATCGCCTGTTCCAGCGACTGGCTCGAGTAGAAGTTGGTGCGCTCCCACCAGTTGTCGCTGTCGTTGGTGCCGGCACCGCCCAGCACGTAGATCCACTGCGACGGCGCGATGCCCAGCGCCTGCGCGTGGCCGACCGACGTCAGGATCACCGCCGCCGACAGATTTACCGTGTTGAACGCGTTCTGCAGCAGCGGGTACGGCGTGCAGATCATGCGGTTCTTGGGCGTCACCTCGCCCACCGCCCGCGCGTCCCGCGGCGTCTCGCCCGCGCGCCACGACGCCGGGTGCGCGCATGCCGTCCGGTCAAACGCCGCGTACAGCTCGGCCGACTCGTCCCTGTTTTCCTGCTGCGTCATGCCCGTGTGCGCCCGCAGTCCGTTCTCGTACATCGGGTACACGTGGATCGCCAGCCCCATGCCGTGCCGGCTCGCCGTGTTCTGCCCGTTGAACTCGAGGTTGTTGGTCGACACCGCCGCCGCCTTGGGGTCCGGCCGCGTCCACCCAGGCGGGTGCTTGTGCCCTGCCTTTTGGCTCGCCGCCAGCGACGCCAGCGACTCGCCGCCCGTCACAATCGCCAGCTTGCTCTCGCCGCGCGCGATCTGCCGTGCTGCCTCGTCCGTCAGCAGTGCGCACTGCTCGCCGCCGTGGAGGCCTATCGTCGAGAACGACGGTTTCATCTTGAGGTCCTGGGCCAGCAGGCCCGGCAGGTCTTCGTACGGCTGCGTCCACGGCGGCACCACCGATAGGCTGTCGGCCGTCTGCAGGTCTTTTGTCGACAAGCCCGCGTCTGCCGCCGCCTGCCGGATCGCCGCCAGCATCATGCCCGCCGGCTCTGTCGAGTGCTCGACATCAATCTTCTTTTCGCGCACCTCGCCGACGCCGATCAGGATGGGTGTGTTTGGTGAGACCATGTCGGTGGGCGGCAACTGAGTTGTAGGTGATGGTACCAAAAGTGAAGAAGCAGGAAAACCGTAATTCAAATCATGAATCAAAAATGAAAAATTATACGGAGACAGACATATCTTTCAACAAACTGATCGTCATAACTATGGCTCACTGACAAACAGCCTCGGTGCTTCAACGTGCGCTAATCGTAGAGCTGGCCGACTGCGTACCATTCCGCAGGGGTTGCTTTTCCCCATACTGGCGCCATTCATCAAAGCCTCCGACCCACCACCACTTCTGTCAAGCCCGCCCTGTCTCCTCGACTCAGTAGCGCTAGCAAAGTACGGGCTTACTTGCCATGAGAGCAGCTAATCTTGCCATAAAACGGACACCACATCGACATCTGTGACTGCAGCAATTTGGTTGTTGTCAATGCATGCCGCGAGCTGTTTCGAAAAATTGCACAAAGCCGTAGTCACACGGCTTTACACCAACACGACTCCGTTGAGCTACCCCTTTTCCTTGTTTACATGCGGATTTGCGTCACGTGAAACTCACTATCTTGCACTTGTCCTTCGAGACACCATTCTCGCCGAAGACTTTTCCAACAGGAATGATTCATTGCTTGATAACAAAATGGGAACTGCAGCAAATACAGAAATTGGGGAAAGGTGGCGAGGGGGGCAGCGTGAGACTGGAGGCGAGCGAGGCGAGTCAACCGCGGTTAATTGTGGGCAAAGACAGCGGTGACAGTGGCGACAGTTGGCCGTTGACAGGCACTGACACTTAGCTGTTGGCGGACGGAGTTGGCTCTAGTGTTGCCGATACTATTACAGGGGCTGGAAGGGCAGGGCAGTCCAATCCTAAAATGGAAGCTGTTACGTCGAATAGCGCTAAAAACACGTGCCCAAATTACTTCGTCCTCTAATATTCAGGGTCTTCTACGGAGCGCAGCGCTCTCAAGGTCCTCCAAACAAGCTTCCATAAAGTGGTGTCGTCCACTAATAAGGCCTGTGTTATTGTGGCAAGGGAAGAGCCGCAACATGCCGCGGCAGAATCGACATGATATCAACAAAGGTGGAGTAAGGATATCAGGAGAGCAATGATGCAAGGTGAAGAACAGGACGAAATAAGGATACGTATCGTAAGCTGATGATGCGGAAAGAAAAGTAGTAGTGGTCTATTAAAACGTGGTATGAATTTGGCAAATTTGATATTGAATCTGCTTGCTTCCGTGTAATGTCTAATGTCTTCAATTTTATTTTATTTTCTTGGGGGAAACATTGATTGACAATGTTTTATTTTGTTTTATTTTTTTTAAATTTTTTTTTTTAAAAAAAAACACATTCAATGAAGAAAACCACAGATTGCAAGTCCTGTAAAATTGTATATAACGATTTTTTAAGGTTCTATTAAAATATTACGAAAACGCAGAAAGTAATCCTATGATGGAAAGCGATGCGAACAAAACATGAGAAAACTGGACGACAAAAGAAATCGTGCTAAAATGGCCCAACGGCATACAACCAGCCTGGAATTTAAAATATATTAAAATCAAGCCTCGAACATCAACAACAAATTGTGGACACTACGTCGTCACATTGTCACTGCCTCGTGGAAAGCTGCACCTATGTCACTTTACAGAATTGAGAATTAAAATAAGTCCCACGTTTCAAAATTCACGCAAAAGACATATCAACAATATATACAGGCGGTCCCAGGCCGACAAACAATCCAAGCACTGCTCCACCACCACGGTACGTACAAAATACTTTTACCTGGTTTCGTTGACACTCACCCCACGTCCACCTAGTTCGAGCTCGTGTCGTAGTCCACAAAACTGCTGACAGGCCAGCCGTTGTAGTAGTTGTACTCGTTGAGGTTGGTGGTGCCATGCAGGACCTCGTACCGGGCCATGTTCCACGACGCATTGTGATGGCCGTGTCCGCCCGTCTTGTCCTGGAGTGCAGCCGCCACGCGCTGGCCGACTTCGCGGCCCTCGAACCAGGCGCCGTGCAGGAAGCCAAAGTACTCGGCCGAGTTGGCCTCACCAGCAAACCAGAGATGGCCGACGTTGGCGCGGAGGTTCTGGTGCTTCTCGAGGGTCATGCCGACGGGCCAGTTGCTGTACGAGCCAAACGCCCACTCTTCCAGACTCCAGCGCGGGTAGAGGATGGCCAGCGGGTCGGGGACGTCAATGTCGGGGAACATGCTGCGCAGAACCGCCATGCTCTCGGCCAGTGTAACTTGGTCGTCCTGCTGCTCGACACGGTATGACTCGGCGCCCACGACCGTCACAAACAGAATGTGCGAGCCCTCCAAGAAACCGGGGCCGTCGAGCGACTGCCACACCGGGTAGTAGCCGCGCACCTGGGGGTCGGCGTACAAAAAGTACTGGACGTCCTCGTCCCAAAATGTCTCGTTGAACTGCAAGAAGATTTTTGTGTAGGTGCCCATCTCAAAGGACTCGATGGCGTCCACCTTCCAGCGCGGCAGCGGCGGCTCAAAGTCGATGACGTCGTTTTGCAGGACACCGAGCGAGAAGGTGCAGATGGCGTGGTCGGCCTCAACGCAGCCGCCGTCCTCGAAGACGACTGTAACGCCAGAATCAGAGTAGGTGATGTTGGTGACCGTGGTGGAGAGCAGCAGGCGTGGGTCGTTTTCGGCGAGGAACGTGCTGGCCTCGCCATACAGAAAGGTGTTGAAACCGCGCTGGTCCCAGACGTAGTTGTTCTCGTCGCTGAACTGGTTAAAGGTCAGGTTGTTGCCCGACACGCCAAACACGAAGCTGCAGTCTTCGGGCGCGTACGCCGTCTCCCAGTCCCAGTTCCAGAACTCGACCGCCTGGGCGTGCATGTCCTTTTTGGGCTTCCAGTCGGCCAGGCTGAACCCGACGCGGGCACTCGTGTCCTGCAAGTTGTCGGTGAGCAATACGCCCGCGTCGGCGGCGGCCACCTCGTACGTCGCATCGTACGCGTCCATGACGTCCGTGTAGTCGACAGACCCGGTGTGGTCGTAGGTCAGCAGGGAGCTGTAGTTGGAGTAGGTGTTGTTGAGCCCGTAGCGCTTGGCCAGGGTCCAGATGGGGTTCTCGGGCCCGCCTGGCGAACCAAGACCCTGGACCCAGTTGGCACCGAGCTCGACGGTGTACGACGAGTTGTCGGCCTTTGTGCCAAACGTCGTGTGTGCAACGCGGCCGCCGATGTAGTCGTTGCGGTCGACGAGCAAGAAATCGGTGACCGATGCATTGGCCAGCGCCTGAGCGGCCGTGATGCCGGCCACGCCTGCACCGAGCACGGCGACCTTCGTCTTGCGACAGCTGCCGGTGCTGGACGATGCGGCATGTCGGGGCTGCTCGATGGCGAGGGCAACAGTGCAGCTGGCCCCGGCCAAGAGGGCCACACAGTTCAAAAGTGAAGGCATGGCGGTGCGTCTCGGTCGAGGATGTGGACGATATTGCTTTGCCGGCAGAGATTGAGTTGGCATGCTCGGCGTAAATATATACAGCTGTACGTCATGGAGACAAAACAAATGCACGCCGACGGCCAGGATGGGAATGTGAAGGTAGTGTGAACGTTGCAACTCTTGTACCTGCCGTTTTGGGCCTATCCAGGTCTCTCTCGGCCAAGCTTCTACCCCGGCGGCCTCACACACGGCGTACGGCTGCATCCGTATCAGCACTTTATTGCTGTTCTGGGAAGCTTTGTGCAGGATCGGCACTGCATTAGTACATTTGCAGGGGTCTGGGTGAGGAGATGGTTAGACTTGCCCTCAGCACTAATCTGCAATGAGGTGCAAAAACCGGACGACGGACCTTGAGAGGTGTGACTTATTCTGGCGTTATCAGAGGGCCGTGCAACCCTTGGAATGCGACAAAGATAACCTACACACGCGGGTACCACTCATATCGGCGTGCATTGGGGGTGTCGTTGGACCCGCACAGGCCTGTATTGACATCCTCATCCTGGATTAACCTTTGTCGACGTTAAATTCCGTTAGTTTTAATAAAACGACAGCGTCTGTAAGAATCGTTGCATGTTGGTTGTTAACGTGACCACGGCGTAACAAATTTCACAGATCACCACCTAGTCGTCCTCAGCATTGCTTCTACCAAGAACAAGTAAACACGAGACGCTTCTCGCCTCGCCTCTGGCGCTGGTCGTTTGTGTTCTCAATCGGCCCACAGCCCTGCACGAACCGTGTCCACTGCATCAAGAACGGCGCTTTGGACTCCTACGAATGGACGTCCCACGGCTCGCCCCACACTACAATGCTCGGTTTGTCGCGAGAACGTGCGTAGGGCTGTCAAAGTTGTCCCGGACGCGTGGAACGGGACCATGTCGATCCGGGGGATTGCGGGTTCTGCTGGACCGCAGTCGATTCCAGGGTCTCTTGGGACAGACGCCGCAGCCAGCTTGGAATGCACATGGCCGAACTGGCAGGATGCGTCGCGACACTGCCCGCCTACTGAAAACCCCAACACAGCAGCGTTTTGGGGAGGGCGTTGAACACATTAATGCGGACCAGAAGCTACAAGTCGGTTCGTTGCGTAGCCCCGGGCGTGGTATGTGGACAAGGGACGAGAAGGGGTCCACTCCCAAGGCCGACGCAAACTGTTCTTGAAAGGTGCGTTTCGTGAAGATTCAACAGCATGTTAAAGGCCTTGTTCAGCATAGTGAGCCTTGAATGAAGTAAGTGGAATATACAAAAGGCACGAGACATGAAACGAGCACGTAATGCATGGACGTGATTTGCGGACTAAACGTATTTGCGTATGTCTTCCACACTAGAATGCTGCTGCTTGGTGACGTGCGTGTATTTTGCATGTTGGCTATTGATCAGTCGAAGGGAAACAGACGCTGTGCTGACGGAAGTACGTCTCGGTGTCATCTTAATACACGCCCTGGTCTGGTTTGCATTGAATCCCACCCCTCACGCCCTGTAGCCGAATGTCGCTTACAAGCGGGCCAAGATGGCCTCGGCGCCCGTGTTTTCGATGGACTTGGGGACCGTGTCCCGCTCGGCGTACACGACCTTGCCGTTGTCGACACTGGAGGGGAGAGTTAGTGTGGACTGTGACTGGGCCAAATCACAAGAAGCGGCACTGGAGATGGACAACTCACATGATGGCGTACCGAGCAGTCCGCTCGCCGGAGGTCCAGCCAATGGACTTGCTAAAGGCCGCACCGGGATCCGACACGAAGAGCTGTCAATTAGCGGGCCGTCTCGACTGAATTTCATTTACGCCCGTCAGAGACTCACAATCGAATCGTCCGACACGCCGTTGGCCTTGCCCCAGGCGGCCATGACAAATTGGTCATTGAAGGCCAGGAACACAACCTGGTCGACGCCCTTGGCCTTGAGCGCGTCGCGGTTCTTGAGGTACGAGACGAGGTGCTGCTCCTGGCACGTGGGCGTGAAGGCACCGGGCACCGACACGAACACAATCTTCTTGTTCTTGGCCTCCTCGCTGGCCTTGTAGGGGACAGCGAGGCCGCAGGCAGTGAGGTCGAGCTCGCCGGTGGGCGGGACGTACTGGAAGGACACGCCCTCGGGGAACGCGTCGCCAGCTTTGAGACCAGACATGGTGGGAGGGTGGGGATGTTGGACGAGGGGGTGGTCGAATCGAGGGACGTTGAGCTAGATGTGAAATCGAGATAGACTGGTAGAGTTGCTGAACTGTTGATGCGTTGACAAAATCGAAGATGCTGTGTCGGAATGTTTCGGTGGGATGGCTGCCAGCAAGCTATCCGACAACGGACCGCGGGGCATCGCGTACTGGGGATTTGGGACATGCCATTTCTCAGCCGATTGCGTTATTTGCCCTGGTGCCTGGCGCCCTGGCTGCCTTTGGTGGCCGGCCGCTTTATGTAAACCTTGCCCTGAATTTAGTGGAAACCGGGCCCGACGAAGTAGTGACCATACCCATCAAGGTACCCGTAGCTCGGTGTGGCGTAGCGGGTGCTCTTCAGCACATGTCGCACTGTAAACAAATGTGCGCCGATGGAACCCACCAGCCGAGTGGCCCGGGTTCTTGCCTCGCAACCGCCGTCTTCACAACATTGGATGTGTCTGGCAGCATTCGCAGTCGAATCACACATTGTCAGATGGCAGGAATCTGGACGTGTCGCCGACTTTAAAAGAGGAACTGCCCGAGCTGCGCTTCTGACCAACAGCGACCACAACCTTAGTCGCCTCGTAGCCCTCGGTGATTGGCGGTATTTTGTTGCCCTTCGGCTTGATGCCGACGTCGTCCGATACAAAAGTTCGTCTGATCAGACCGGAAGAGGCTGCAGCAGAGTGTTTGACGAGCAGTTCGTAGGGTTTGGGCAATGGGACGGGCACGGTGTTGACGCACACCTGGTTGTCGGCCACTGCGCGACGACATCCTTATTTAACGACCACGCTCGATACTCTTGACTCTTGATTCGACGGTGTTACAGTGCCGCCTTCAATTTCATCATATCTTCTCTCGTGTCCGTCTGCAGATCGCGCAAGCAGCACGGCAAGCAAGCCGGTGACGGAGCACGCACGGGATATTTATTGAGGAGAGGAAACAAAGTGATTGACGGAAAGACATGAACTAAGAAAATCTGAAAATGGAATGGAAGAGACATGCATATAATGCCCTATAAGCCACAACGCCAGTATGAATTTCTGCCCGTGCACCATACCGCCACAATTTCTATCCTATCCTTTGCTTCTTCCGCACCCATACGTCCTTGTCCGTTAGATCAACGTCTTCCCCTGTAGCTTTGGTTACGTTTCCTGCGACATCTCTCAGCTCGACTTCCCAGATTTGTAGGCGGTAGTTGCCGCGGTCGCCCATGCCAGTAAACATATCAAAGGACCAGCCGTGCTTGGGACACGTCAGGCCGGCACTGAGCACGATACCAAAGTCTTCAATATCGAAAGGTGTGGCGTTGGAGAGGGGGTATGACATGTGCGGGCATTTCTGTGGCTGTTAGTGAACGACGTTGGACAGAGGTTGTTGGTATAGCAGGTGCTTACATGATCCACGGCGTGGAACTGGCCCTTGTACTGGAACACGAGCACCTGGTCCTTGAGTGCATCGGTGCCCTCGACTTGGGCAACGTCCTGCACTAGAACTTCACTTGCTGTGACGTTACCTGTATCTGCGTCTTCAGAAACATGAAAGATCTTGCAGCCGGCAACGGGCAGACTGGAAGGGGTGCCACATGCTCTCGGTCTTGGTGTGGAGATGACCTCGACGACAACGGCATCCGGGTCCATAGGCTGGATATCTGGGTAGGCCGACGCCGGCCCGGCGCAGAACCACGCGGCATCACCGCGCTGGCGGGACGTCCGGAAGAAGTTGAACATGTCGTGGCGCGGTTGTAGGTCCTCGATCGTTTCAGTGGGTATTTTGGTGCGTGTGAAATCTTATCATAGTCCACACAGAAGTACGGGACCCACTAATATCGTGCATCAGCCAATCGGCAGCACTTTATACAGACGGACAGCACCGCAACAACGGGCATGTTGTTGACGGAAATGAAATCCTACACGTAAATATCTATTCAAATCTAGTAGCAGCTGGGTAATCGTGAAAAAGGAAAGAGAAGGAACCTTACGAGTTAGCAGAGATAACGTCAGTCATTACGGAATAACTCGTGTATATTCGACAGCAGCACCATGCAACACGCCCTAATACAACAGCGATTCAAAAGACAAGAGCATCTCGGTGTGCGAGACATAGTGATCCGGCGGCAGAAACTCGTCAAAGGTAGCGGCCTCGGCATGCATGGCCGAGTGAGTCTCGCCGGCCCATATGCCCCCTATCGGCATATCCAAGGAAGCCGGGGCCCATGTGCCAGCCGGCGTATGGATGGGTGCGACAAAAGGGGGGGACGACGGCGACATCGACGGCGACATCAACGTCGCAGGGGCTCCAGCAGTTTCGGTAGTCCTGGCGACCGATGCCAGCATGCTCTCCAGGTTCAGCAGGCGCATGGCGTGCAGGAAGAGTTTGCGCACTCTGCGTGTCGGCAGATGGCTCTCCTCGAGGGCGCCCAGGGTTCGAATACACATCTGGAGAGACGACACGAGATAAGGCGTGTTACTTCCAGGGGTGTCTCGTCTTTCTGACAGCGTGGCAATCAGCGTCGCGGCAGCCGTGCTAATCATGTGCAGCGTGACCCACGATAGGGTGCGCAGGCTGCCGTGGCACTCCTCGTACTGCTGCAGGTACTGGGCGATGAGACAGGCATGTTGGATACAGATCTGGCGGGAGGTCTCTTTGGGCGAGGGGCGGTTGTGGGAGCTGTAGGGACCATATGCAATGGCGTGCGGTGTTGGTTCGGCACCAAACTGCGCGAGTGGCCGGTGCAACAGGATGACGGCGGCAGAGTACTGCATGTGCAGATGGAAGACGGCCGGTATTTGTTGGGGGTTGTACCGGAACTCGGCATCCAAATTGGTGTACCAGTCACGGAAGCTGCGGTCGAGAGCAGCCACACGGTGGCGCGTCGTCTGGGCGCCATTGAGAGCGTCGCATAAGATGCCGACAATCTCCAACAAGTCGGCCCAGGCGACCGACATGCGCGGCTCAAGTGACGCCATGTTGCCTCCAGCCACAGACGGCCTGGGCTTTTGGACGGTTACATCGTCGAGCTTGATCATTTGGGGTCTGCCCGAGTATAGCGCCCATTGCCGGTCAAACGAGAAGCAACCCCAGAAACATGTCTGGCGCACCTCCCTCTCCATGGGCGTCAGGCTGGTTGCCGTCGCCTGATCCGAGTGGAAGCCTTCCATGTCACTGTGCAGGCCCAACTCAAAGGCCAACCGGCTCGCCTGGTCGGCGTACATCCAGCCCTTGGTTTCGTTGTTCACCACACCGTAGATCTCGCTGAGCAGCTCGAGGGACTGCAGTGTCGTGATGCCTGGATGGTTGCGTTCCGCGTTGAGCAAATCGGTGCATCGCCGCACCAGCAAAGGCGAATCATCGTTGACTTCGTCCGCCACCAGCGCCAGGGCACGGATGTCGGGCCGGTCTGAGATGGCAGCCGCCCGCGCTAAAATGCAGTGCACCAGCAGCTTGCTGCAGTACCCTGTCTGGCCACTCTTAAAGTCCTGCAAAAACGCCTCCTTGTGGATGATGGGGATGACCTGGTGCTGGTATTTCCAGTAGAGCTCAAACAAGTGGTCTTGCAGCGATTCCGACACGATGTCCTGCCACACGACGCGGCCGCCATTGTGCGAAGGCTGCGTGGTCGCCTTGCTTCTCGACAAAACGGAGGATGCTACACTCTCGGCTAGGTTCAGGCTCCAAGTCGGGCCGTTGTAACGCGGCTGACTTACGCAGTTGCTGTTGAGATGCCTATAGCCGCCGCAGAGCCGGATGATCACGTATTCCAACGACAACGAGGCGGCGCCTCCGGAACGGTCGCTCTGGCTGCCGGGTGATGACGTTGCCACAGGGTCGACGAACTCGTCGCACTCTGGTGTGTTGCGGTCGTCGATGCCAATGACATGGTGGAAGCTGTCTCGACGGATGTTTCTCGGAATATCACGGACAATATCACGGCCAGTGTTCTCACGGGCGGCGCAAGGTGGCGGTTGTGCAGCATGTCGATGGGAGAGCAGTTCCGCTTCCAACGACGCAATCTTGGCGTACAGCTCGCGCACAAGCTTTTTACTGTTGGATAGTTTGCGCTCATCGACAGCGGGGATCAGACACTCGGTGCCCGACCGCAAGCATGCTCGGCAACGGCCACCATCCAGGTCGGGCTGGCATTTGATTTTTCTTTTACGACAGCTGGAACACGCGAGCTGTTTGGACTGTTCTCCACTGCCGCGGCGTGTTCGTGCCGATGTAGACGCAGCGTTGGGCCTTGTTGGTGAATTGTGGTGTGCGTGGGAGAGGTCTGTGTAGTTTGCATTGTGGGCGTTGTGAGTGTGGTGAGATTGGACAGAGCGCTCCTCGGGATAACTGCCGCTGCTGTTGCGTCGGTGGGCTATGCCGTAGCCCACGGACGCATCCCGTGGTCGCGTCGGGAGGTCCATGTCCGTGTGAAGTGCGGGAGTCGTCTCCGTATCCGGTGGTTCTGTGCTCCGTATGATGTGGTATCAATCGTTGGTGGCCTCGGCAATCATCGGCGTATAACATTGACTGCCGCGGATTGTTTCGTTTCCGGTTGTGTTTGCGTCCCCGGTGAAAAAGTTGTTGAGTGCGAAAGGCACACACGGCCATCAATCTCCGTTGGACCCCATCATCACAAATCAACAAACAAAAGCAAGCAGAATCAAAGCAAAAAAGGAAGTCAATAACACTCCGTTTGTTGCCGCTCCGCAGCGACTGACATCCTTTTGTATTGTACATTTTACGCAGCGCGGACTAACTGCGATGACCAATCAGACAGGTTCTCTGGGTATTAATCATGTCACCCAGCTATGACAGCGTCGGCGCGCAATATCGATATCCGACATGTCTTCCTATCGGTGACAGCCTTTGTGACAAGTGCAACGGGGCCACTGTGGGGCCTTGCCGCACGGACCACGCGGCGGCTTCGAGGAAAAGAGACTCCGCTGTCAGCAGACATAAAAGAATAGTAAACAGGAACGTGTGTCCCTGGAAGGGAATGGATTTGACAGCCGCGATGCACGACAAATCGCTCCGACGCCTCGTTGTGCCCCTGTTTCCTCTCGTCCGCTCACGCTCAGGTTATCCTCGGATATTGACCTGCGACCGTCAGCAGACCACCAGTAGGAGGAATCCCCCGAAAAGTATTGTGTTTGGGGTATGGCGGCGTTGCATCCTTACAATGGCCTAACACTCTACTGGACAAATCAACCCGCAAGGGCGCACGGCAAACTTTCGTCCAGCATCCAGCCCCGTACTAAAAAGCAATAAAGAAGACGACATACATTTGCTCCGTATTACATTCATTCAAATTGAGCGTCTGTGGTGATGTCGCAATTTGGAAACTCTTCAATTTCCCTGTACATTTCCCGACCTCGCCTCCGTGAGTCAGCTCCCGATGTCGCACATTGCAAACGAACCGAAGCTCCGGGTCAAAATGCACAGAGGTCGATCCTAAAGTGCGATGTGCACCAAACTGTTTGGAAGTACGATATTAATACGATGCTAGCAACAAACAACAAGAACAATAGCCTCGTCCCGTCTACTGTGGCCTACATCACGGCCATCAAAGTCCGCCTTCCACAGGCCTCCCCTTTTCTCCTTAGTCGTCCCCAGTCCTCCGCAGGCTGTAACGCTGCTCTTAGTCTTGGGCCAAGGATCATGCAAACTTTCCCCGCGACGCCCTTTGAAGTCCGGATAGTCAAGTCGAGAAGAGAGAAAGGGGGAAGAGGGAGAAAGACGAGACTTACGCGACAGTCTAGCAAGTTGTGGAAAACAGAATCCGT